CGTCCCCATGCTTTCATTTCTTCGGGACGTTTATGTAAATAATTAACAGCGGTCCTAACTGGATTGACTGAATTTTTAAGAGCATGATAACCAGCATGTACACATTATTCAAGACATGACATGTACAACAAATATGAAAAAATCTCCCCCCACAAATAGGTGTGTAAATATATGTAAGTTTACGTATAGATGCCGTATTGGCAGTAGCATTATCAAAAGAAATTGAAAACACTTTTTTACCAATTTTAAATTTATCCAGAATTTTAGAAATTAAACGAGCAATATTAGATGCAGTGTGACGTTCATGAAATGCAACATAAGCAATTAAACATTTTTGCAAACTCCAAGTTTCATCGATCCAATGACAAGTAACTCCCAAATAGAAGTTATTTTTCCAATGGTCGGACCATATATCAGCACAAATGATACTCTACGGTTTAAAGATTTAAAATTTCTTGCAAAATTAATTTTTTTCACTAACTATTTTTCGAATATCGCGAGTAAGAGTAGTATGTGGAACCCGGGTGGCAGCCGGATTCAAAGCCATGTGAGCAAAATGTTCATATAAATCACTATCACCAAAACTAAATGGAAGAGATGAAGCAGAAACAAATTCAGCTAAATGACGTCTATGATTTTCATGCGAGTAATGAAAAAAAAGTGGCGTACATGTACCAGTGGTGGCGGATGCAGAACTGCTACTAGGGAATTGCGTCTGTGTCGCGTCGATTCCCAACGTTGTCGGATGACAACTCTTTAGGTGTCGGTTCAGGGATCCATACCCATCACCTTTTTTGAAATGATACTACTTCTTGGAATTGGACGGACAATGGTTGCAAATTGCAAAAAAGTGACCCTCACCTTTTGCCGAATTTGGAATCTTCGTGAAATGTCGTTAGAAGATGGCGGACCCTGCTTTGTTACCCCCACCCGGACCACGAGCGAAGACAGAGGATGGCTCGTTCCTGTCTGGCTGCATCTCTTGCTCGGTCTCTGGGGGGCTCGTTCAAAATAGATCATCCAAATGGTCGTGATACGACGGCTGCTGGGACTCTTGCTGCTCAGGCTGAATTGAGCCAAACAGGGCTTCTATCGTTGCATCATCAATATCATTGTGAACACCAAGAACATTCATATGTATCGATGGACTCACAAAATCCAGAAGTGGAGGTCTTGAAGAAGACATGTCGACATTTCTCCGTTTATTTCTGGAAGTCAAAGTACGAGAACCACCACGAGAAGTCGACATTTTTTAATAAAAAATAAAATATAAAAAATAAAATGTAGAATATAGTGAAAGGATATGTAGAATAAAATAATAATGTAGAATAATAAAATAAATATAAAATAAAAAAATAATGTAGAATATAAAATATAAAATAAAAGTTTATGTATATATAATTTTTTGGTAACCGAGCACAATATTATAAACCGAACACTTAGGAAAACAAAAATTTTAGAGATATTGAGATAAAGAGGGGAGAGATTAAAGAGAGTACAGAGAAAGAGAGAAGAGATTGGTGTGGAAAATGAGGGGGTATTTATAGGTGATTTTTTTTTTATTTTACCGATTTTTCGTGTAACACCCCGCTAGCTTACTAAAATCAGAGTGCGATTTTCGCAAATTCTTTTCTAAAATTTACGTTTCAATTTGCGAAATCATATCTCGGGATGCTACAGAAAAATATTTCTTTTCTAAAAATCCGTTATCTTTATTAATTAAACATTATTTATGAAAAACAGAATATCTTTTATCAAACAAGCGTGTAATACAGTATAAAAATCCGTCCGAAAGGCTCGGATCAAGGTCTGAAAAATAACACGCTACTTTGAAAGTCTGAAAGTATCAGCGGAAGTAAAAACATGGCAAATAATATACATATAATAAGTCTGCAAAAGAATAAATACATATGTACTGCACCGGCGACCACCAGCTCCGCTCACTCCTCGCGTACAACAACAATTATCATTCTTCCATACAGATGGCTCCATATGAGGCACTATATGGTCGTAAATGTCGTTCCCTTCTTTAATGGGATGACGTCGGTGAACGTCGAGTACTCAGTCCAAAGTTGATCGAGGAGACAGCAGAACAAGTCGAGTTGATCCAGCAGAGACTCAAGACAGCTCATAGTAGAATGAAATCAACCGCCGATCATCATCGACGAGATATCCAATTCGAGGTTGGCGAGCACGCTTTTCTCAGAGTTAGTCCATTTCGCGGAGTTGTTCGATTCGGGAAGAGAGGGAAGTTACACCCTCGGTTCATTGGCCCGTTCGAAGTACTCGAGCGAGTGGGCGATGTTGCGTATCGTTTAGCCTTACCTCCCGAGTTATCCGGTGTTCATAATGTCTTTCATGCTTTTGGTCGGTCCGGAGGAGTGAGCGGAGCTGGTGGTCGCCGGTGCAGTACATATGTATTTATGCTTTTGCAGACTTATTATATATATATATTATTTGCCACGTCTTTACTTCCGCAGATACTTTCAGACTTTCAAACTAGCGTGTTATTTCTCAGACCTTGATCCGAGCCTTTCGGACGGATTTTTATACTGTATTACACGCTTGTTTGATAAAAGATATTCCGTTTTTCATAAATAATGTTTAATTAATAAAGATAACGGATTTTTAGAAAAGAAATATTTTTCTGTAGCATCCCGAGATATGATTTCGCAAATTGAAACGTAAATTTTAGAAAAGAATTTGCGAAAATCGCACTCTGATTTTAGTAAGCTAGCGGGGTGTTACATTTCGATTTATTTTAATTTTTTCTTTCGGGACCCGCCGGGCGGGGGTTCCCGGCGGGTCGGGCGGGCTGGGCATAAATGGGCCGTTGGATCTCAACGGCCAATTTTTTTTTATTTTTTACTTTTTAAAAAAAAAATGACCATTGGGCCGACCTAGACCGGCCCGACCCGGCGGGCCCAACGGCTCTTTTGTTAGCCGCGGCAGCTTTTGTCAGACGGGTCGGGCCGGGCTTACCCGAACCGACCCGCTTAATAAAAAAATATATAAAAACCAGTGGGTCCGAGACCGGCAGCGGGCCCGCGAATCGGTTACGGTGCCAAAAAAATTGAGAACCGAGACCGAACCGCATGGGCACGGTCCGATTCATAGGCCCGCGCGATTCCGGGCTGGTGCCGGTTCGCGGGTCGGGCCACGGGTCGGGCCGACCCGTGGCCATGTCTCGTGTTCGAGCCCTGGGAATGCAGCAGTGTTAAAACTCTTGAGGGAGAGCTTTGCCGCCCTTGTGGTCCTACCCGACTCGATTCCGGATTAGTCGGTTCCCCTGTGGATTCGGAAACCGGAAGGTCCCTGTACCAAAAAAAAAATGTTTCTTATAGATTAAAAATAATAATATTTTAGTCGTGGGAAAAGATTTAGTATCAATTACTTCTAAACTTTTCTTCTTCGAGTGTCATTGAAAAAAATTGCGAAAACCTCTCCTAGCTAAAGAAATATCGCGGTCTACTTTTGATAAAATATTCACACTCGTCTCTGCTTGCATCACGCACTAGTTTTAAAATTCAAACGCTGATTCACCCGAGTTGGATTTCCAGATCATCGGCTCATCAGTCCAACTAGTATTTGATCCTGTGCAATTGTACAGATATAAAATACGTTTTTTTGTTTGTATTTATTAATTAAACATGTACTTCTATCATATGAAAATTATTACTTTTTCTGAAGTTATTTTAATCATTCAAAATTGATTGAGATTTAAATTTTATTTTAACCATGCAATATTTAAAATAATTTATATCTTTGTGGCATATATTAAGAAAATTAACATAAATAAAAAAAAAATATTGGTGTTTATTATTTTTAGAAAAAAAAATGTGTCAATCATTTTTCTT